CATTCTAGCAGTGAATTTAATGTGGTTGGTCCTGCAGCATACATTTTCATGATCTATACCTAACCGACTGTGGGAATACATCCATTCTAGAAATATGCATGTACTTTTATTACAAATCTAGAAAATCATTGCTTTCCCTTCTGCTTCTGTTGTGTTTATATGATGAGTTATATATTGCTCATTGTTACAGCAAAGATGAGCTCTTCACTCATGATATACCCATAAATGAAACAAATAGAACCACAGCTTCTTTTCCATTCCTACGATTTTTCCATTTCATTTGTAGACTTCATGTTTGACTTATGAAATGAAAACCTGTCAAGTCAAAGTAAATAAAAAAAAAAAATTAAAAAATGTATTTTCTTGGATAGAATTGTCTTTCCATATTCTACTTCTCCAAGTGGGTCAGGAAGACGTGGGAGCTGCGATAAAACCAATATATCATGTACATAACGCACCAATCTTAGAGCATGAATATAAAGACACATATAACAAAAAGTCTAAATATTTTAAAGCCCGCAGTATAGCTTTAAACAACCTTGTTGTTTAAAGCTATACTAACTGTTAGCACAGGCCGGTAGTTTTATTCCACTGTTTATTCCACTGCAGAGTAACCTAACCTTGACAATGACTTTTAACTCCTTCATTATATCATGATGTTTATTATGTGTCATCTGTTAGTAAAGGTTCATGTTGGGCACTAAAACCACTTCATGTTAATGGCAGAGGTCCACTGGAACCTTTTTACTGTCAAGTGGCTCTACAGCTACTCATAGGACCGTGGCAGAGCAGGCACCTGCCATGAAGACACACTTGTCAACAATGCTTCTCTGAAAGCCCGGGACATATGGGACTCTTTTTTTTAAATGTATGTAGACTAAAACCCATGTTATCGAATTGATGATTTTGGGTTAGTTTTATATTAATCATTAGATGTGGGCAGGTAAGCTTACTCTAGTGAGTTTACAGTGACTGTAGACATGGTCATACCCTTCGAGCCTGCACAATTGAGTTTTTAGGTGGGAAGCAGTGCGCGCAATACTGACCCCATTCTTTACGCCTGGGGTTCAACTACCATGGCCTAGCAAGCTGGGATAGTGACAGCGAGGTCCCCAGGTCGTAGGTGTTATACTGGAGTATCCTTCTCCTAGATGAATGGCCTAAAAACGGCTATGAACTTCATCTGCCCAAGTTTGGCCCATTTGGAGCCAGCATGCAGGAGTCACCCTACATGACTAAGGTGTTAGACACTAGTTTGTCTGACGTCTCAGTTAAGACCTGTCTGGTTTGGGTGGCCCTTGTGGCAGCGATGCTACCGCCAACAGAGCTCTTAGGATCATTGAAGCACTTTAGCCCCTCTGCCACAACAAGGGCAGTGTCCGTGGAGAGGAGAGTTTACAGTACTTTGCTATTTGTACGTGATACCTTAGTATATTAAAATTACACTCTCTATTTGGCACTCTTGATGTAAGCTTTATAAAAAAAATGTTTTACCTTCTTTTTAACTTTTACTCTGTACTTCTCTGTAAACGATTTTTTTTTTTTACACACGTTATTTTTTTTGTCCCATGTTCTATGTTTCAGGCTTGTAATTCTATGAATTATGATTACATATGATGTATGGATATTGTGACAACCCTACACCCCCAGATTCAGAGCCACCGATGAGCTCGAACCTACCAAACCACTGTACCTCCGTGAGTATTTTCCACTCAATCTAACCCTGCATGTTATTAACTCACTTTACCCCGCCACAGCCCAGGTCTTGACCACCTCAAGCCACCTGAGCGCCCCCATCCAGCAAAAATAGGGCCTTACTAATACCCCCTGAAACCCAAGATTAAGGAGATCATTCCCAACATCAGAGAGATGCACCCCATCCGCCCAATAATACCCAGAAAGCATTCCTTCCAGGTCCCGATGCCTCACCACAACCCCGCCTATCTGCCGTATGAAAACCGGCATCATCTTATTAACCTTCCCCTGACACAGAGCCACCACGGCAAGATTCCTAACATGCCTCCAATGCACCCGAGGAATTTCAGACCACACCACGACCACTTTAGGTACTAGTTCCCGTATCCCAATTCCCACCGCCCTATCCGCTTAACCAGATCGTCCCCAAGCCCCAGACGAGACACCTCCGTTGCTGCCCCAATCCGGGAGGAATGTGTCCAAAACTCCAAGGTGTCCAACCCCAACCCCAACTGCCGTAAACCCAATTGAAAAATCTGAAGAAAATGGAAGCGTGGCAGAGACAACCCGTTCTCATGCACCAAAAACGAGCCCACCACCCCAGAACGAACCCCCAAAAGCACAGCAGCGCATGAAACATGACATAAGGCCGACTCTGGCAATAAAAACAGTGTGACCCGGCACCCCTTTCCGAACATGTCTGTCTTGGACCGTGGCAGACGAATCAGTACCCAATCCTGAGACAGCCTAACATTCGCGAGGTAAACACCCCCAGCACCCATCCAGCCAGGGGCGTACCTAGGGCATGTAGCACCAGGGGCAGGTCCTGGGTTTGGCACCCCCCCTCCCCCCCTGCGTTTCTCCAAAAAAAAAACTACTAAATTTTTAAAATGTGTTATATTTTTTACATTTTTAAAAACATTTATTGAACAAATTTGTAAGCTTTTTAAAACCCCAGCCCCCCTCTAAAAAATCCCTGCACCCCCTCACACACAGTTACAGACACGCACACAGTCACATGCAGACAGTCACACATACAGTCACAGGCAGTCATACACACAGTTACAGGTAGAGAGTTACACACACAGTCAGTTACAAGCAGTTACACACAGTCACGCACACTGTTACAGACAGACAGTCACATATACAGTCACACACACGGTCACAGGCAGACAGTCATACACATAGTTACAGCCACAAACACACACAGTTACAGGCAGTTACACACACAGTCAGTTACAGGCAGTCACGCACAAAGTTACATGCAGACAGTCACAGGCAGACAGTAACACACAGTTACAGGCAGCATCACACAGTCACAGGCAGACTGTCATGCACAGTCATAGACAGTCACACACACACAGTTACAGG